TTTGGTGTTATATCTTTTTAATATAAAATAAAAATACTCGCAAATTTCAAAATTAATTCATACAAAAAAATAACTAAACACATGCAAATCATAGCCCCTAGATCCGACAACTCTTCTTAACGTAGAAGTTCAAAGCAACTAAAAAACATCAACATCTCTTTGAGAATATCGCGCATCCATTCTAGCAAAAGGCAACCAACCGCAAAGTCTATAAACTTAACTATGTCCTTAATATTAAATGAAAACTCTATCAGATCCTTAAGAGTTGAGCTTCGAAAGATTTTGAATCTTCTCTAAGCCAATAATAGAGACTGACGTATGAGTTGAAATACAGTTTCCTTATTCGCAGAACCAAAAAATTGACAAAAGTCATTAAGGTAGTCCAAATCTTATTGCAATGCATTCCTAATATGCAGTAGTTTGCCAGTACCGATATCGCAGTATTCAGTTGGTTTTGCTGACCCTCAAAATATCTGTACTATACTATGTAATAGTTTATCGACTCTTAAAAATATTTATGAAGAGGTACCCTACAGAGAATTATAAATTTAGCACCACTTTAATTTTAAATTATTTCTTACTTTTTGTTGTACTTTTTGTATAACTTCTTGTTTTCTTTTGCTTTCTTCTTTAACTTTTACTTTCTGTTTTCTATACGTTGCTTAATGTTCACATTTAAGTTCAATTGAGGAAATGATATTTTTAAATAACACAAAATAACACGAAGCAACAATGCAAATGCAATAACTATATACATAAAAACAAAAACAACAACTTTACAAAACAAAATTTTTTTCTGTACTATGGGAACTAATTTGTATATTTAAAACCTATTTCAATTTACTTAATTGAAAATTAAATTTTATAATTATTTACAATATTTGTATGGACGATATATATGATATGATGTGATATATGATTTGATATTGTATGATATATGATATAATATAATATGATGTGATATTATATGATATAATAACAACAATATAGAAGTGACAAGAGAAAAAACAAATTATTTGATGCCATTTAAAACTATAATGACGTTAAGTCAAAATTTGTATTTTATTTTTTTACTGATCGTCAGCGTCATAAATTTCCTAATCACTACATTACAATTTATATCCTTAATCGTTAATCGTAATTAAAAAGCTTCTATTATTGTTAATATTCTTTAATAAATTATAATTTCAAAAATCTGTGCTCACATGAAACAACTCACGCAGAAAAAGTAAGACATAATTGAAGGTTTGATAGCATCCTATGAAGGATGACATCCTATAGTAAGACTTTATAGATAATCGTAAATTTTAAAAAATTAAATAATGACTAGTCTATAGTGTTGTGGTGATCAGCTGGATATTATGTACATTCTTATAGTAGTGTGTCTTTTAAAGGCTTGTCTTCAAACACTCAAAGATCTTTTCTGCTTGATCGCTTTTGATTTTATGTGGAGATCACTGAATATACACCATTTTGTGATCACACTTTCTCTTACTTAATCAGCACAATAGACAAAATAAAAGATTACTTAATTTGATGTTCTTTTTCAATTATTAAGTCAGAGAAATAAAATAAAAAGGCTGTACTTACACAAACACAGTTTGAATATTTTAAGCAAAAGTTTAAATTATTCGTTTATAATCCATTGCTATTATCTGTATATAACAAATTTAATTAGTGTATTTCATGTGTTCGAGCATTTTCTAAAAATCGTGTAATATTTATTAAAATAAACTGAAAATAAAAACAAACAGTTGGCAATGACTTGCTTTTTCAAAAGATTCTTAACACCTGTTCCATGTTTCTTATTTTATAATTTTGATTATTATTGCTAGAAAATTCTGGATCTATGATCTATTTTCTTTTAAATTCTGGATTTATTCAGATTTAAATATATAGTTATAATTTTATTTGTTAGCACATATTATATAGTTGCTATGTAGCTTAACTTAAGACTGTTGAGACTGCTAAGAGTTAGACTGATAACAGACATTTGATCAGATTTTAAAATGGATGCCCTGCAACTCTTTTAATGAATTTCCAATCTTTTTGAAGAATATGGGGATTTCATGTCTGGTTAACATTTAACTCCTTATTAACTTTATTTCAACTTTTAATACTTTCCAGATAGTTTTTTTATTTAAAATAAATCGTATATATTTCTATTATCAAAAAATTCACACTAAAATGAATATATACAATACATATTACTTTTGAATAGTAGTGTAAAATAGAACAGATGATTAATTTATTTAAAGAACGCAATAAGATAACATTTGTATGTAATGTCAAAAGTATCAATATTAGTAAAATGATAATTGCCTAAAATAAATTGTTTGATTTGAAAATGTTTTATTATTGTTTCCTTAATTTATATTTTTTGCATGTAAATTTAATTTCGCTCGCTGCTTTACTATTTTTACATTCATTAAATTTGCATACTAAACATGCTTAATTCGAAAATAATTTGAATAATTCAACAAGCCGAGCGCTTTTAAGTTTGAGAACAGCATTTACTTGCTTTTGCTGGTAAATTGCTTTTCCATTTGCATATGTAAATCAGATTAGAAGAATTATCAATGAAAAGAAGAAAAGCTTAAAAGCTCCCTTTTGTTATTGCATTGTCTGTGGTGGTCGACAAGCAAAAGCTCTTCGAATAATTATTTTGTTTTGATTAGCTGACCATGTTTGTGTCATGGAAAGTTTAATCATATGTAATTATTTTATGGATTATAAATTTATTTCCAGTTTAGTATTTTTTTTTCAAAATCAATGAGTCATTTTGGAAAGAAAAGACATTAAGAAACAAAAATGAATAATTTAACCCAACAGAATTTAATGCAGTCCTTTAAAAGAAGTTAAAATGTATGGAAGTACGACTAGGATGAGATATAGGTTATGTATGTATAAAAATTAAATTAAATTAAATTAATTAAATTAAATTGAGGCCCTATGCCACACCAGGAGATAAAGGAAGTAAGAAGAAGAAAAAGGAATTAATTAAATTAAAATTAATATTACATTCCAGAAAATAAAATCGAATTCATTTTATAGAATTATAAACAAATAAGAGTACTTGTTTTACTTACCTATACTTATTACGATTATATATTTCTTATATATATTATATATATATATAATTATACTTTCTTTTGATTTTAGTACTAACATTACTACTGAAATTAGTAGTACAGTAATACTATTTATTCAAGGATACGAAAACACAAATGCTGTTGAGTTTGTTTTTGGATTTTATAATTCCTAACATTGTTCTTATTCGGATTAAAATTAATATCTCTGACTTGATTTAAAGCATGTGTTTTAGTCCAATTAGAATTTTAAACCAGCCTTATATTATTAAGAAAGGCTATCTATGGTTATTAGTTATTTAAAATACTATAAATAAAATAATATAGATTTCTAGACTTTTTATAGTGCATCCGATTGACGGCGAAAGCTATAATCATATAAGGAATAATTAAAAATTATTTATGTCAATTTAGTTAGGATTTACTTATTTATAGTATAAATGTTTATAATATTTATGTTTATATATTATAAATTATTGAAAATGTATGATTTTTTAAATTAAATAACCTATATATACATATACAGTACATTACTCAATAAAAACCAATTATACCATTTATTTTTAAAATTAACAAAAATGGAAAGATATATCCAAATCAGTAGGGTAATAACAGAAGTAGTTAATTGCTATTTTTTTAGGCAAAATATGTCGTTAATAGAACTAGTATAAGCGACTAGTATGTCTCTAAAAAGTAAACTTACTTATTTAAATATAATATCGAAAAAATTATTAACTTTATCTACTTTCATGTAGATAATGTATTTAAATATAGTATTTAAATATAGTATAGTGTAGTATTTAATATTTCTTATGATTTAATAAAAATTTTTATTTTAAGGTTAAAACACCTCGCTCGGATAGAAGTCGAAAATCTCTGACATATAAATTTTTATGTAGAAAGGAACTATATAAATAAATATAAATAAAAACTAATACACTATTTTCAGTATTTTTATATTTATTTAAAAATAAAACTAAAATACTGTATTCCATATGGTAAAGAAAATAATATAAATGTTATTTATAATATCGATATAAAAATACTAAACCTCATTTACAGAAACAATAAAGCCAACAGTGATAATGTCTTCAAAATTATATATACATATTAATACAAATTAAATTTTAAATTAATCAACTAGTTATTCGGAAAGCTTAGCTCTACAAAAGGCCCTGATGTCTTTATTAAATTTTTATTATTATTATTTTATTTAATACAAAAAAATATAATAAATTAATACAATAAATTGGTTCCACAACTCCTTAATTCTTAATTTATATATTCATATTTGCTCTTGCAAACATACATATAACAAAATAAAAAAAAAGCACATCATATTTTCATTAACTTTAATAATAAGTTTGTTCATTTCATAAAACAAATAACAGTTCAAGAGAGAAAAAGGAATAAAAAATGTATTTAATAATAATTTGAAGAATAAAAGAATAATTAGAAAAAAATTCCTATGCTTAAAATAAAGTTCCAGTAATTTTCATAGACAGCAACAGAAGGCGTCGATATTGATTAGTTACTAATTTAAAAATAAGATAGAGTATTAACATTTACACAAAATCGGAATAGCATAAATAAGATTATAATTTTATCGTCGAAGTAGAGAGTACCACATTTTTATGCTCCATAATCATTTTGCCTTTAGTAACATATAAATATAATAACTATATATTTGTGTTGTTACTTTCAAACTTCTGTTCATTAGTCAAAGTTATATACACTCATCATCATCAAAAATCATCCAAAAGCAAACTAAAGCAAAAAATTACTGCTGGGATATTAAAAATTGATTTTCTCATCAACTTTTCATGCACGCAGCAAAGCTCTTGCAAAGCATTTACGACTTTGATGATAACACACAGTATTGTTGATTTTAGTTTGGAATTTGTTGTTAAAGAGAGCACATATATATGGGTTGTGTAGTACGTTAAATAGACTCTACTCAATAAACAATTTGTTTAACGTTAATTAGTTTTATTAATTCATTAAGAATTTATTTAAAATCACATAAAAATAAAACTGTTTTGATAAATATGGCGAATTCATGGTGTGGACGTGACTTCAAGCCTCGTATATTTGCCAAGCACAATCCAGTTATTTGCTACAATAAACCACAGGCAGCACAAGTGTCACATGAAGAATACGATAATAGGCGATATGAAGCTATAATGGGTGAAATGATAGAGACTTTGATAGTGCCTAAACGGTCTGCTAAAACATGGACAATGCAAGCAGGTGACCTCTGCCGTGTAACTGTGTGTGATGGTTCACAAGTGGGTGATTTAAATTTTTGGAATTTGGAAAACACCAAAGAGCGATTTTATTCAGGCAAAACTCGTCAATTACACAGCACGCACCTAAAAGTGTACGATCGTCTATGGAGTTGCTTACCTTATCTGCGACCAATGGCAACCTTTGTATTTGATTCGTTAGCGAAGTATGGCGTTGATGAGGATGGGGGCTCATTGCATGATGTTGTGGGCACTCGTTGCGATGATTACACGTATAAACTAATAACCGGTATTGAACGTTTTGGCAGTTGTCATAGTTATCTGACAAAAGCAATTCAAGAAGAGCGTGGTTTAACAGAAGCGGATGTGCATGATGTATGGAACATTTTTATGTGTACTGGATTTTCAAAAGTATGCACAATTAACTTATCATTCTATTCATATTTCAATTCTAATATATTCTAATTATCTAGCATACTCAGCAGTACTTCTGCAAACCTAGTCCAGCACAAAAAGGTGATTTTATAGAATTTATAGCTGATATGAATTTGTTGGTTGCTTTAAGCGCTTGTCCACAAGGTGATGTGTCTATACCAGTGGGTCAAGAGGTACCTGAAAATAAATGTCATCCACTTAAAGTGGAAGTTTTTCGCAAAAAATATTTGTAAATGTTATAGCTCTTAAATAGTTTAATAAAAAATAATCTTTTTTAAAAATATTTAAAAAAAACTGTACTACTTATTCGACCGTGACAGGACTCGAACCTGCAATTTTCGGATTCGAAGTCCGACGCCTTATCCATTAGGCCACACGGTCATTGTAACGACGTGTATCTTTTATTTACTTGTCTATGTCCTTCGTTAATAAGGTTTATTCTTCGTCCTGAGCTTTTGCAATTTGTGTTGCAGCTTTTGAGCTTTATATATGTGCATAGAAAATCTTTGTTAATTGATAGTTCAACCACCCACACATCTGTATTTATCAGTAATAAAAGGATAATTGTAGATGTTATTTAAGGACCGTGTGGCCTAATGGATAAGGCGTCGGACTTCGAATCCGAAAATTGCAGGTTCGAGTCCTGTCACGGTCGAGGGAATATTTTTACTTTCATTTCGTAGTTTTTTCTTAAATATGAAAAACTCGCTTTATTCCACTACAAAATTATTCCTGATAAAAAAAATAGGAGAAGTCCATATTAAATATTTGAATATTTAAGGTCAACAAACTTGGATTTATATATATATGACTGGCATATATATTTTCCGCAAGTTATCTGAAATTTAGTTTTAGACTTTAATACTACTTTTATTTGTTTTTCGTAATTTTTAAACTTATCTCACTATTTCACTAAACTTTTGCTATCTTTAAAAAACATATATTGCTTTTCTAGAGATGTTTTTTTATTAACTGACCTGGAAATATATTATTGACTTATAGTTCATCCTTACTTTTGTTGCTTCTCACTTCAAAGTGGAAATCATAGTCATATCATACAAATCATGAAACTATTATGTGCCTGAATGAATTGTTAGAAATAAAATTGTTGAATTAAACTTTTATTTAATAGAATAGAGAAATAGATTTATAACAAAAAATGCTTCCACTTACTATTCGAGAAGTATAAACGAATAGAAAAATCATAACGAGATATAGAAAAGTCTAAATATTCCTTAAGATTTAAGTTATTATGAAATAATTAAATTAAGAACATAGAATTTATTATAACAAAAAATATATTGATTATGGAATTTATTGCTTAGAATTTTAATAAATATTCTTTTACTAACAATTTCTGTGTGGAACACTTACCTTATACACTTTCTACAGCCATTCAATTATTGTTCTTAGAAATTTTCACATTTACTCTATCGACTTTTTTCCTTACAAGTAAATAAACAAATATATAGAATTTTCTCTATCAAAACAATTTTAATTCCCTAAATATTCTCAAAAATTTTCACAAATTAGGTCCCTTCACGATTCTTATAAAATGCTGAAACATTGGATCGATAGATAGATAAATTGTAAGTGCATATTTTGTGATTAGAGGATTTTTTGCTAAAATGTTTAATACCACCTCGAAAGAAATACATGAAAATAAACCAACGGCTGCTGATTCTTAAGTTCAAATTTATACATATGAAGTGCAATTCAAATCTAAAGTATTAAATATTGATATTTCATACAAATTCTTCACAACACAATTACGAGTTTAGCATGCGAAATAAAAACTGTAAAAGGGGCTATTATGTCTGCGGAGTTGACTATCGCTAAAGTATTTTCCAGTTTGCATGCTTCACTATTTTCAGATAGTAAAGCTGAAACGTAGAGCTGAATTAACTCTTTACGGTTATCTTCTCGTGGGAAATTTATTCTTAGAATCTTATAAAATCCTAGATAGGGATTTTCACAGATATATGATCAAATTTATTTAATTCTAGTACAAAACAAATAATTTATGTTTAAAGTTTACAACAATTTATTTTTTAATTAAAATATTGAACATTAATATTATATATAGGCCGTGAGCGTGTTCGAGTAAATTGAGGTAAAGTAAATTAATTTTTCCTAGGGATTTTTGGCACTGCACTTATGTAAATATTTATTTATTTATTTATTGCACTTATTTATAATTTTTGGTTAAAAGTTTTTAAATTTATTTATTTATTTATTAAACATCTTATAAAATTTTCACAAGGGTAACACCTAATTTACCTAATTTTTATCTAATTTACTCTACTCGAAATTCTGGTAAATATCGAGAATCGCTGTCATACTGACATAATTTACTATTTTCCTTAATTTACTCGAACTCGGCTATAACATACAAAAAGTTTTGTTACATCTCTAAAACAATAAATATATTTGTGCTGCGATTTTTCGCTATCATGCTTAGAAATAGTGTATACATGCTTGAAAGTAAAAAACGGTATGGCATCACCAAACCGATTTGTTTTACTTGTCAAAATGTAATATTTTTTTTTATACGACGGTGATATTTTCTCCCCACGTAGCACAATACCACCGACTTTACATATTTTTTAACGACTTTATCCTTTAATATTTTATGTGAAATGTTAATAATTTAGTTTTTTTTAAATTTTTGAAAAGAAGACAAACAACTTTAATATATAATAGGATGGCTTCACGAGGCGGACATGTCACAGGCACTGATGGAAACGATTTTGAATTTAGGCAGCAAGTTGCAGCACCTCATCAAGTTAGGTAAATACATAAAAATATATAAAATATATTATTAAAATGCTCACATTTAATATATTTCTTTTAAGATTAGAATTTTGTTACAACATATGTTTACGCTAACTTAATTGCAATTTTCTGCAGTAACAAGAAAAAAAATCACAAGGGCTCCTTTTGTTCAAACTGGGCATTTTGCCAGAATTGTTTACTTTTTTGTAATAAATGCTGATTTTTGGTTTTGGACACACAAAATAAGTCAATAGACGCATCTATTGTTTCCTTTCACATAGCACATGTGGAAAATATGTGTATTGAGTTTTCTTGCACTCGTGCATATTTGTGTTTATTGCATTACTGAAAATATGAATTTGAGCTCTAAAATGCTTGCAACAAAATATTGGAATTTATAGTGATCAAACATTTTTTTTTTAAATGAAACCGATTACATCGTAGTTTTTAAAAAAATATTGATTTATAAAATATAATGGTCATATGTTTAAAAGTTCGAAATAATTTAAATTAATTATCGTCTTAATATTATGTCTTAGTGAACCAAAGTTGCAACGAAGTCTGATAATCACTTTTATGCTTAAACCAGTTGAGTAGCACCTTTCTCTACTGTTTAAATATATGCACTTACTTTTACAAAATATTCCTCTTCTTTTACTATAGTAGTTTACTTAATTAAAATTGGTTCCATTAGTAATTTCATAGATGTATTTGAGGCTGTAATTTACTACAATTAAGGATCAATATGCCAATATGTTAGGATAGGTTAGGTTAGGTTCAGAAAGCGCGTGCTGACAGTTGTCAGCACTTCCACTCGGAGGTGTTATGCCCTCAACAAATTTTTCCGGGACAGGAGAGTTGTTAACTTTTGTTATCCTTGTTAAACCATTTTGTTTTCCAGATAAAGTTGAGGAGATCTGCAAAGTTTGCTTTCGTTATCTCTTCCAAACCAGTGAGAAAGCGCTTGAAGTAGCCTTGTCTGAAGTCCTGGACAGAGATACAGGAAGGGGTTGATAGATTCTACTTCCTCTTCATTTTGGCAAATTCTGCATAATTTACTTGTTGGAACTCGCCACCGTTGGAGCATGTTTAGATAAGGTTTATAAATTTTTGCTTCTGCCAAAACAAGTATTTATTAAATACAAACGAAAAATGAATTTTATATTTTTATTCCCAAGTATTTTAAGTTCGCTTCAAAACTCTTATTTTTAAGGTCTCATATGAACATATAACTAATATTTGCATTGATATGATTACACCTTTTAATATTTATAAAATAATAAATTGATTTTTACTATAATTGTAGCTTATTAAACAAATCGCGACTGAAGTACTGCATTTTCTTTCATGCGCTCTTATTTTTTGTTATGTTAGCAAAGCTAACTTCTGACATACTTGACCGTTTGGATATTTTTGTGTTAGAAATTGAAGAATTGGAAGTTCCAACGCCGCTTTGGTGGGAATACATATGGCTGGCATCTTTATTAACTTCATTTTTGGGCTTATCTGCAGCACGAGGCAACAAAATTCGTGACATGCAAAAGTATATGATTGCAATTGGGCTTTTCTCGGTACTGCCATTATTTTACTGTTTTATTTACTATTTTGGTGATGTGTGGGAATATTTAACTATGGATAAAGATGCTGATTTAGATGAAACTGATATATTTATTTGGAGGGTAAGATAAATAAAATTTTTATAGTTTATATAGATGGTTAAATTCTACATATCAAATTTTTTTTTTTTGTGTTGCAGGGAATGCCTTATGGTTTACTTTGGTACGCTTTTTGTTTTGTTGGTTTTCAAGTACATGGCTTTACACTATACTTTTCCTATAATTTGGTTAAAGCTTGGAAAGCTAGAACTGCTGCCAGAAAATATCAGTAAACAAAAAGTAGCGATATTAACATTTTAATTTATTGAATAGCAAAATTTTAAAAATACTCTCGATGTATTTGCATAGCTGCAAATACAATATTCCGATCGAAAATGTTTTATAAAAAGCTATATAATTGACACTTGTTTTTTTATTTATTTTATGGAGTTCATTTTAAAAACTTACCAATGTATATATAAAGTCACGTTAATTTCATGCCTGCAGTGTTAATATAAAAAAATATATGCATAATTTACATTTATCGTTAATGTTATAGCTGCAAACTGATATGAAATGCACAGTGTATAAGCAACAAATTAGAAAATTAATTAATGAAAATGTATTAGAAATATATAATTGGGCTCTTATCATATTTTGTATATCATTGTTCTACACGTGCCTATATTGTAAAAGAATTTGGAAAATAACTATTATTATATTTAAATTCATTTTGAAATTAAATTATATATTGAGATCATATTTCATTAAATGTTTTTATTGTTCAACTGCCTTTTATATATTGTAAATGTTATGAAACCTATTTATCATATTTATATATGTATAAAGAAAAATAAATTTATTAATATATATATACTATTTTATAAAATTCAACTTAAAGTTGCAGTTAAGAGAATTGCTTCTATAAGGCTGTAAATTTTAATAACATCAATTCAAGTTTTTAATTAAAATAAAGTTCTTTTGAGTGGGTTAAAGTAGAATGTGTTTTAATTACCTATTTACTTATTATTTTAATAGTAAAATAAATAATAAAAAATGCAACATATAATAATATAAAATGACTACATAAAATTTGGAGTGCTTTCCTCCAAAATGAAGTGAAAATGAAGTGAAATTTCCTCCAAAATGACAGATGAAGTGAAATATAATCATTCACATAAATTTTTTTTAAACATCTGATTTGTACAACAAATTTTTGCTTGGGGACTAAGAGCAAAGGAAATAGGTGTTGTCACCGTTCTTTAATCGTTTCTTAAAATGTTAATAGTCAACAGAACAGGATCATATCCAGTTAATAAAACATTGGTTAATCTCAGTTTAGATCTATTAACAGTAGAGACTTGTCAACTTTTTTGTTGTTAGATTGCAGAAAATATTTAAGTTACCTAAAGACTTGAACGTCTATCCGTAGGTGTTATTATATGATCACTTCATTCGAGTTTTATGAATGAACTTTCGATTTATTCAATAAAATTAATTTTTAATATGATTTTAATTAATCGTTACATAGACATTCTGTTGAATTAATCAGAATTGTTGTATAGCTTTTAAGAACTGTATTGGATTAAATATGATTTTTTACATAGGAAAGATATTGATTATTATGTATAAAGGGAACTCTTACAAATTAGATCTTTTAGAATGTCCAAAATCTGATTTTGTCATCCATTGAAATTAAAACTTTTGGGTCATCACATTTTTTTTTTTATTATTATTTTTTTGTATAAACATTGGTGACCAATAAAAAGAGCTAAATACGGTAAATCAACACACTTGATATTTCTGTGACTATTGAAACATTTAACTTAATGAAATGGGGTAAACAGTTAACTCACACACACACACACACACACACACACACACACCTTTGAGATTTATCCACTTAACACATGACCAACCTTTCGGTTTTATGTAATCACATCGTTATTTAAAAATTGAAAACAACGAACTTTAAGAAAAAGTTTCTTTTCTTTTATTAAAAAGAACAATTTATGGTAAAGATTATGTACAATAAATTTGAATAAAAATATTATTTTAACAATAGTTTTGCATTTTTTCCCTTTTACTATTTGTGAAAAAAGAACGTCCTAAAATTAGAAATCTTGAATATTAGAACTACTCTAAAAACAAATTAGTTTTAATTCTAGAGCGTCTACTGTACTTTATAGAAATTCAATAGTTAGGTGATTTATTTAATGGGTGCCAAAATTTTTAAAATAAAAAATCTCGAATATTAGAACTACTCTAAAAACAAATTAGTTTTAATTCTAAAGCGTCTACTGTACTCTATAGAAATTCAATAGTTAGGTGATTTATTTAATGGGTGCCAAAATTTGCTCTGATTTAGATCAATGATCAAAATTTACTCTGATATTACATAGTCGTAGTTAGCGATTCCAATGGTATAAAAATAGTAATAAAATTTAATTAAAACTTAATTTAAGTTAAATAGGGTTAAGGATGTCTAAATTTCAACCAATTCAAAATTATTTATTTTTAAAAGCAACAATATTAATTAAAATTCATAGTAAGTTATTAAAATGTAGTCTAAGGTAGATCGATATTAATCCTATGTAATAAAGTCACACCCGCTCACTGTCTAAATTTTCCTTTCCATAAAACTTGTGACTACGAGGGTGAAAAAAAATTAGAGAAAGGACATTTTTTCCATTTTGTTTGCTTGCATTTATTTGCACGAAGGTTTGACCAAAGCAAATGGAGTGCAAAACAATTCAGTATGCAATTAGCCACTGCAGTGTCCTCTACTTACAATGTTTTCTCGTGTAATATACATATAAATAAAATAAACATTTAAAAAATATTTTTAAAATACAAATTAAATCAGCAACCGAAAAAGGAAATAATTGTAAGGAAAAAATCCTGCGCATTTGGAACAGCTTACTTGTCAAATGTCAGGCACAGCATCCTTCAAAAAACCTGCATCCCCTTCAAACAGTTGTGGCATTGCGAAAGGACAAGAAAATCGTATATAGAGCTTTGTAAAAATAAAATTCATAAGTTTAGAAAAAGTTATTAAAATTTAGTTATTAGTAAATTGAACTGCTAAAAAATGCGCGGAGAGGAGACGTACCGTAGAGTTACACGTGAAAAGCTTGTATTGCGTGGTAATACGGCTATACGTACACTGGATTCCACCACATCATATTTGCCTATTTCACCCAGGTGAGCAAGGAATGGGGATTTGCATAATTGATTTCTGTACGGACTATTTCAAATAACAAAAATCAATATTGTCCTGAATTTTAAAAAGTATAAAATATAGTATATGTTATATTTACTTTAACACACACTCAAACATAGTCCAAGGACTTTGTTAGTAAATAATGTGAACAGTTTTGTTAAAATCCTTAAAAATGTCTGCATAACCTTATTAATTATTAAAAAAGAAAATTTTAGTGAAACGTAAAAAGTAAATGAATTTTATTATACATATATTTATTTATGTGAATGTGGACGTCATACACTAAGTGTTTTTAAGAATTATTTGCGACCGGTATATTTTTTAAGTCCAAGTTCTAAAGTGTTCCCACTCTTCATAAAAATCAACTGGTGTTATGTTTAAAATAACTTTAGTCACAATTCCAGTCATGCAATTTAACTATTAGCATTTTGGGACTCATTTTCTTTCATATTATTAATTCGTCTTATTAAGTGGCAATATTAGGGAGAGCGGAAGTAACCTGAAAAAGCTATGGAACCGCGCCTATCAAAATAATTAAGCACCAAACAAGCTAATAAACATGAAACACATTCACATTCGTATACCTTAGACCCGTGAGGACGTATCGCTTACAATAATTTTGTTGGATTTCATATTTGCAGTTATTAATGTTTTATAGCTTTCTCTGAAATGTTAAACTTAATTAATAATTGACACAATTTATGCTCCTAAATTTATTCGTGAAATTAAATTGTAAATATATTCGTACTAAGTTTACAAAATGAAACTAATAAAAAAGTAGAGAAGCTACATTGGCTCTGTCAAAACTCAGAAACCCTACACAGAGTTGTGGATAATTTACTTTCAGAGATTTTTCAGATTAGAAATTTTTAGAATAACGTCGACAAATAATAATTTTTTTAATTAAAACTTGTATCTATTTATGTACATATATACATTTGTTATTGATTACAAATAAATAGAATAATAAATATTGACCACACAAAAAATTTTAATCTAAACTATCAATTAAATGACAGCTGTACTCAAATTTGAGCCGATTGATCCAATTTTTAATTGTGACATATAATATATTTATTAGAATATGTATCTGAACGGTAAATCACTATTATTTAAAATATATAATAAAATATTATTGTCCAAATTAACTTCAGTCCGAACCAATCATAGCTTTAATGACAGCTATATCCAAAAGTAAGTCGATTGATCCAATATTGAGTAATGTTTGACTATTTTTTCATTAGATAATGTATCTAAATCATAAGCTTGACTGTAGTAATATCTAAATCTAATTCATTCTTTTACATTATTAGTTTAAATATATAAAGAAATGTTGCAATAAATATTGTCCAAATAAACTAGTCCGAACGAGCCATAGCTTTAATGACTGTTACACAAAATATAATTTATTTGTTAGAATATGTATCTAAACAATTAGCTTGTATGTTAACTATATCTTAATTTGAATCATCAAATTATAAGTTACAATAAAAAGTTAAATAAAAAATATGATTATTTATTTATATTTATTTATTTATTGTATTTATTTATTATGTATTAGAGAGGTTTCGAAAAGTAATGAACTACAATAACAATTTTTTTTTGTATATTATTTTAATTAATTGACTTATTACTTAAAATATACTTTTTATTTATTAAATATTAGACAATGACTTAAGTCTAAATCATACTTTAATTAAATCAAATAAAAAAATACTCCTTATAAATATCTTAAACCGTTGTAATCACAATAAGCCGATTTCAATCAAATTCATTAAATAAATTAAATATTATTCGACTCGATATTGAACTATATATTGAATAATTAGTTTATCATTTTAATTTCAATACGTTACTATATTTCTTGCGCTATAAATAAAGCAACAAATTTTTTTATGGAACCTATTAAGTTTTATGCCACAACATAATAGGAGAACAGACCTAATTGCATCTCTAGGAACATTTTAATAACTTAATGGAAGATTCTATAGGTATCACTGTCTTTTAATTCTATCATTGAAAGATGGAAGTTATCAGAGGCATATGTAGTTAAAAAACTAGTGACTAATTAAAGTTAAAATTTATCTAAACTTGAAAACCGATCAATAATTGGGTCTTATTGAGGAGGGTTAAAACACCCATTTCCAGGATATTGCTAGGTTCAGACAAACTTGAATATAGTGCTCATAAATTGAAAAGTTCAATTGATCATATTTTCATAATTAACAATTAAAAAATAAATTAATAAGCTATGAAAAGAGAACTGACAAAAGTTCGCTTAATTACTTAGAAAAAAATCGACAAAAATATTTTAATTTCATAATTTTAATCACATTTTTAAGTCTTCAAAGTAATTTCCTCAAAAACTGAGGTTTATAGGTTTGCAACTTCAAGAATAACTGCTTTAATTATATTCTCATTATTATCGGAAACAATTTCTTTCAAATTTTTAAAATTTTTGGAAATCATTGAAAATCATACGACGCTAAATCTGAGATATTTGATGCGGGACGTGCTTTTTAGTTCAGAATAAAGTTATTTTTTTGAATTATATGTGCTTTTATCGTAATGCAGAAAATATCAACGCAGTTTCTTTTTTCTTGGTTTCCCAAAAAATATTTAAAAAATTATAGTAAGCAGGTTTCACCATACCATATAGCGGTGACCATCTGTTGAGCCTGGAAGTAATAGCTACTATTACCTTATTTTTTCTGGTAAAGTAAGCAGATATCTTTACTTCTGTTTTTGTATTTCTGTTATCTGGTTTTAACAGATTGACTAGAACCTTCTGGGCTCCATACCATCAACTGTTGCTTTGTTTCTGTTTTTTATAATTTTAGAATCAATCTTCATTACCTTTAACAATTTGATTGAAGGTACTGTACCATCCACTTTCATCTTTTTGAAGAATATTTTAACCAAAACGCTAACGCGCTTTTTTTTGACATTCAGTTAAATTTCTAGAAATCCATTATGCTGATTTTTCGTATTTTTAAAATCAATATATTCCTAATAATCACGAAACCTGCCATGACACTTAAGCTCATCCATAGCAATTATTTCATGGGTCATTCTTAAATCATTATCAATTTTAGATTTCACAAGAATGACGCTTACCTCACCAGCCAAAGATTCGCACGATTAGTTCTAGAAAATTGGTCGGTCTGGTAACTTCGTAGATACTTCGAGGTGCAGTAGTGTTGATGCATTCTCGTCACATAATAAATTCTTATTGAATATATTCACAAGAATGGCAAACCGAATCTGTTGCTAGACTGGCGGTTGAATTTTTAGAATATTGAAATTTCTGTTCTCAAATCGCGTCATCCGGAATATTGGTACCATGCCCAATCGGAAATTCAATTACAGGACAGCTAATTTATCTATATATTAAAATGTAAGTTATTAAATAATACGTGGACAATGAAATCTCATAATTTAGTTAAATAAGAAAGTTTGCCTACCTTTGATGGCTAGGTTTATTATAATATCGCAAGTTTCAACATATTGAATAATAAGTTTAATTCATGAGTTGATGTGGTAATTCGGATAAGGTTGAGTTACTGTGATATGGTTAAAAAAATAATCTTACTCATATAGGTAGCTATTAAATTTTTTTTTATATATAAAAGTTTCTTAATGAACTTAAGTTAAAACCTCCTCCAAATTTCATTTACACTCGTCTTCGTTTTGCAATTAAGTTGGATGAAATTGCTTGGAAGGAGTAGATAATAAATTAATTCATAACATGAAAACTTCTTCTAGCTGTGCATATACCTCATTGACACATTATCAAATATTAATGAAACTTGTACTTACGATTTTGCAACAATTTTACAAAATAAAACAAAAAAGCTAATAAAGAGGCAGTAGTTTCTGCAAATAACAAAAAACGCAGACAATCGATGCATGTTTGCAATGCCAAAAGCTCAGTACACTCGTGACTAAAGCTAAAGAGCAAAAAAAAAAGCCAGCAACGGTGCGAATCTACAATATTCAGCACAACAAAAAATGTAAAGGAAATTGCTGGCACCCCATATGCCCCACTTCCTTTAACCTCAATACAGACTAAAGCAGTAATTCACACTTAAACCCCATAAAATAAAAACTTACTGTGTCCAGTTTCGTCTGCACAGAAATCCAAGCAAATACGGCAAAAAATGTGTAACCAACGGTTTCTGTTGTGGCTCATTAGTCTACACGAATTTAATATAATAACACGATAAGGATAAATGGACGCAAGTCAACATTCGCGTCCACTTGCGGTCAGTCCAAAAGCAACCCTTCAATGAAATGGTCGTGTTTACTATCGCGGGAGTAACGAAACAAAGTCCGTGGTGCGAAAGTGTTCAATATTTGTAGAATAAAAGATAGTGAATCAATCGGACAAGATGTTTACGACCAATGCTCAAAACTGGTTCGCTATGAATCATGAAAATAATATCGCCAATGCACAAAATATGAACGGGAATGGAATTGGCAATGCAAATGGGAATACCCAACACATGAACTCAAATTTTTTCCTACGTAAACGTTCTGTGTCAAACTCAAATCCGGCACTAGAACGTTCGCCACCGGCCGATGTGCATGTTGAATATGAAGTTGCGGTACCCATTGTTTCTACTTATAGACATACTCCTTACCATTCCTTATGGGATCTACATCAATGGTAATTTTTGCGCTAAATTTAGACTAATATAGAAATTATCTGTGGGTATAATTTAAATAAAATATTAATTTTGTAAAGTAACTGACGTCAGATACTTGACCTGCTTTAAAATCATCCATAGTCATTGGATATAATAATTGTTTGTGTAATTTTCTCTTTAATCAAGAAAATATATAACATACATTTTTATACACAATATATACAAAAAATGAATTATTAAAATCAATTCGACTAAAAAGCGCGTTACATACAATTGATGTCTAATATATAATCTGCTTTGTTAATGAATTTGGTTTACCTATAACACATATT